GCTGCCGCCGCCTCCTCTGCGGGCTCCCCGGGCCGAGCTCCGCCGCTCGGCGCCCGCTCCAGAGGGGGAAGCCGGACCCTGGCGGTCGGGGGCCGGCCCGGACCCCGGGAAGGAGAAGGTAGCGGGTGGGGTCGCTGCTGGGGACTTGGCCAAGTCAGCCGAAAGTGGCCGGAAATCCAGAATTTACTCTGGAGCGGAGGGGAAGCGCTCGGCCCGTCCTCTGCACTTCCATCAAACCAGGTTTGCACAAGGGGAAATGTCACAGCTGAGCGCAAAGGTGACCAATGACCTGAGTGCGGCCGGACAGGCCTGGGGGTGGCACTGTCACCAGCCCTGAGACCAGACGGCACGGCCAGCGTGGGGGAACAGAGCTGGTGTCATCTGCGGGGACCTGGCTCGTGTCCTGCACACCTTCGGGATGCTTCTACGGCCCTGGGTTTGGAGGGGTATTGGAAGAAAGTGTGTCTTGGGGACTTGTTTGATTTTCTGGCGTTTTTTAAGGGGTGGGAGTGTTGATTTGGGTTTTGCTTTTGTTAAAGTGATGTTTCGAAAGCTGTTCGGCTGCTGAGCCCCCGCTAGCCCCGGGCGGGGGGAGCCCGGAGAGCGGCGCTGGCTGGAGCCGACACTGGGTGGCAGGAGGCTCCCGCAAACGGCGTCTGTCCGGGTCCTTCGTTCCTTCCCAGCCCGTCACCTCCAGCACGGGCTGCGCTTTGCACCCCCTGGACCCCAGGACCCCTCGTGCTACCCCTGGCCCCCCACACTTAGCCCCCCGCCCCACTCACGCCAGGGCTGGGTGTGCAGCTGCGCTCATGGGCGTGCGAGATGCTCGGGGGGATGCAGGTGTGCTCCGAGGAGTGCATGCATATTCCAGGGTTACCCGGGCCAATGCTAGGGCCTGCTTTAGCGGCCACATCCCTTCTACTGTTTGAATAAACTGGGGGATGTCTGCTGTGGGGGATTAACAGCTCCAAGAACGTCTCAGAGCACAGGGACCTTCCATCTGAGAATGTCCCTGAACTGCAGCCTCCCACCAACCTCCTGCTGTTGTGTAAGAGTTCCCCTGCTCTTCTCCTTCTCCGCTGTGGATGCACAATCCTTGACCCAAACACCAAGAAGCACCCAGAGGCACCAGAAGGGGCTTTGGTCGCAATGTAAAATGTAGCTCAAGGGTGGGAAGGGAGCAGCTGGGGCTCTTGTGATGTGAACCTACCAGGAGCTGCCTGCACATCCATATTCTGAATTTATTTTTTTTTAAAGCAAATCCAGTGGGTGAGAGTCACCCATGGCTGTATTACCCAATAGTCACCCAGTATCAGCAGCAAATCTCATGTTCCCTTTTGCTGAGAGGACACTTGCAGTTACCTTTGACACCTACTCCCTGGGAACAGCCAGTCTCTGATGCTTCCACTACTCTGATTTTTTTTTTGCTTTAACTGATTCTGTTTTCTAGGAAGGAAGACCAAGCAGTCTGTTACCTGTGACCAGCCACTCTGGGATGTTTGATAATGCACCACACTCTGCTTTAGGGTTCCCAGCAGCAGAAGATGGGTACTGTGGTCATGCAGTAGATGGCATGGTTGAAGCCACCTCTGCTGCTACACATCTCTACAGTCAGCAGGTTACCTCTGCACCACTGCCTTCTCATGGGATTGTGGACATCCAGTGCTGGTGCCTGGAGGAACATTTGTCAAGATGATACAAACATGATTTATGCTCCTGCCAGATCAAGAGGAACAAATAAATGTGCAATGGGACAAATAAATAGGAAAGGACTTGGGGCTGCTCCGCCAGGATAGCCTAAAGTAGTAAAGCACATGAGAAGCCCCTCAGGGCAGAGGGCAGAGTGGAGTGCCCAGGCCCTGCTTGAAAGCCTGAGATGATGGGGAAGGGTGACATTCTATTAGTAAACCACTAATGACCAGCTCTTTGGCATTTCCTGAAAACTACAGTAGGTTGGCTGGTCCCCGAGGAGCACTGTGATGTCAGCAGCCAGAAATCCTGTGGAACCGGCCAGACTGGCAAATGCATGAAAGTCAGCTAATCTGCTGTTTTATCACTCCTCCCCCCCAAATCCCCATCCACCTCAGGCATCAGAGGGAAGCTAATTGACTTGAGCTTCCTTTTTGTGCTCAAACACCTTGGTTGACTTGGTTATTTTCTTTCACTATTTTTCATACAAACAGATGGGTTTCAAAGGCAGTGCTGGCACAGGTGTTATGTGATACATATCTGCCAAACAACCGGGGAGAGGCCTTGCTTCACCAGCTGCCTCTGAGTGATCAGTTTTGCTGCCTCTCCCCACTAACTGGGGTCACAGTTACTGCTGGGAAAGGACATCAGTTGTTGCTCACATTCCCTCTTTTCCTTTACCCTCCAAAGCAGAGGAAAGTGGAGACTTTTGGGCAGCAGGGCCAATGTGGAGTGGCTTTCCAGGGAATGCAACCTTAGCAGGGACATGGCACCATTCCTCGGAGTGATTTTGTAGTGAGAAGGGCAGGTGTCCGTGCAAATAGCTTCCTGGATGGGAGCTGACCCAGAAGGTGAGGTTCCCATCTTCACCTTACCTGACCCAATGAGTTTGACTCTGATCCTCATCCTCCTCCACCCTGCAGATTTATGGATGGGCATGCTGCCAGACTGTATTTTCCCTCACCACTTAGGAGACACAGTATAAACTTGGAGGCAAGTGGGAGGTGCTGAGCTCTTGCCTTGGCAGCAACTGGGACAACCCACTTCCTCATCCCTGCCATCTTACTGGTGTGAGAAAATAGGAGCAGGTTGAAACAGAGCTCCTCAAAAGGGCCCCCATTCTTAAATGCCCAGGGAGTTTCAGGGATCTGTGCAGGGAAGGAAGCTGTAGCCCTCTCCACTGGCCTGTGCCAGGGGCATGCACTGAGCCAAGGACCAGCTGGGCATCACCTGTGTCCCTGCACCAGACACCCATGGAAGCAGCTCTCAAAAACCAGTCCAGGTCAAAGGACCTCTGTTGGACCCCAGAGGAACCACATGGGGTCTTTCTGTGCTGTGGCCTGCTCTTCAGGTCCCTCCTGGGGAAAAATTCCAGGCTGGGGGAGTAACTGGGGCAAAACCAAAAGGCTGAGGAAGCTGTACTGTAGAACACATCAGGGTGTTTATCATGGTAATGTAAAGAAGGGTCTGAAGGTCATGCACATGAATATTTGTAAGAGCATTGTTGTTTCATTTTGATGTAGAACCACAGCAATAATATCCAGCTGGAATAAATTGCTCCAAAATTCAGCTACTTGTATACTGCAGGAGTACCAGCATGGACAAGTGGAGCGAGGCAAGTTGCTAACCTGAGAGCAAGAGCATGTGGGTTAAATGGGATCCATTTATACAGGCACTTCTGGAGCACAGCAAAGCACCTACAGAAACCACCTGCACAAACCCCTGTGTGGAGTGCTGGGGAAATCCAGGGGAAGCCCTGCAGCTGCAGATGGGGTTCTGCACAGACCCTGCTGCACAGAATGGTCAGGGCTGTGCAGAGCCATGGTGGGAACAGGGAGGTGGGTGGGAAGCAGGATGCACTGCCAGTGCCTTACCTGCTCACCAAACCATGCTGTGCCAGATGGGGAGGCACCAGGAGAGGCTTCAATCTACCCCAGCTATAATTAGCCAGAAGGTGAATGAAACCATGCAAACAAGGCTGCAGGAGCTCTGTGTAACCTGATGGTGTCCTGGTGACACTGCCTGCACCAGGAACAGAAGGGTTGGGAGGGATATGGGCACAGGGGCCACTGGGATTTGGCATGAGGGAGCCCAGCACTCTGGCAAGTGCAAACCCACAGTTCCTGCAGTAGAATATCGTGGTGTGCATCTCTTCCAGGGGCCATCCACTGCTGCGGGCTGTGTCCCTGCTCCCTCTACAGGCGTACATCAGAGTAAAGCAGGTTCCCACTGCCTTTGCCAATCACGTCAGGGAGAAGGGGAAGGAAAGCACCACAGCTCAAAACATAGCCATGGTGGCTGTCCATCCCTGTGGCAGTATTTGACTTGCCAACAAATGGAAGTTCAAAATCTGCTCATTGGGTACAAGCCAGTCAGCCAGCAATACATCACTCCGAGCAGCCATAAGTCACCAAACTGCATCACTGGAAGACATGCCAGAGAAGGCATGTAGGATAATAAACTAGTCAGGTGGGACCTACCTAATCCTACTGGCACGAGGCCAAGTATCTGGTGGCTGGGCCTGCTTCTCAGGGCTTGGTGCTGCCTCTGAGCAGCTCATGGGCTCTGGGAATCAGCTGAAGCACAAACCTCTGCAGACCAGCATCATGCTGGGCCAGCTGGGCTGTGTCACTTGCCCTTCTGACCTTACACTTACAGATTGGTGATCCATCTTGCCTCAGGAGCTGGCAGAGGAGGAAGAGCACTTTGCAGGGTTTTCTTTCTGTGGCTGGATGTAGGGCAGGGGGGACATTTGAGGACACTGCCTCGCCCTGCCAGGCCGCACCCCCTTGTCAGATGCACAGGTGCAGGCAGTGTGGGCACACAGCAGTGACAGAGCTGAGACACCACTTGTACCTTCTTCACAGGACCCTCCAGCCCAGCCTAGTACCTCCTGGCACTGCAGCATTTTTCCTCTTATTTAGCCTGCTTGTGAAAAATCACTTCACTTGCTTTTTGCTTTTGCTACACCTGCCTCTATGGCCTAGCCAACCAGTTCATTCTCTTGGCTTGTGCAAGCTCTTTCAGGAGGCTGGCTTATTCCTCTTATCTGTGAGTTGATGTTTAACCAAGTCAAGCATTATTTTGTTACAATCTTTTTGCATTGGCTCTGTTGCCCATGAGCCTTCCTTCTCTTCCTGATGTTTTTGAAAAATCTGTCAAGAATCCCCCCTAACTTTCCCTGCCATGAGTACAGGCATTTTATGGTGCTGCTATGCTTCATGTCCATCCTGTTTGACTTGCACAAACTTCCAGATCACCTCTGGTCCTCTGTCCACGTTTAAACCCATTATGGGTTTAAAGTGGAAAACTCTGTTAGAGAACACTGCTGTGCATTCCCTGCTTTTCACATATGATCCATAAGCTGTCAGTGAAGCTGTAGAAACACAAAGTATTGCTTTTCTTTGGGTGCAAAGAGAAGAGGACAAGTGCAAGAGAGGAAATGGAAAGAGAAGAGATGCCCTGTTGTGCTGCACAGGAGAAATCAGACTTGGACAGTGCAAAACTACAGCATGTCAAATTTGCTCTCTCTGAATTGCAGGAAGAACAGCTATTTTTGCAAGAATATGCAGCTTTACTGTGGTTTTTTCCTCCCTAGGGTTACAAAATCTGTTCCCAGGCCCCCAGGCAACAGTCTCTGCTGCAAAGGTAAAGCCTTTCTCTGCTGGGATGCTCTCACGGCAGGAGAGCTTTCAGAGTGCTGTAACCTTCCAAAGGAAGGGTGACCCCACCTTTTCACAGTTTGGTTATGCATTTTATCCTGCCTCCTACAAATATAACTTTGGTCCATAAAATCGGTGTGTGAAATAAGGTTGATCACGGGACTTCCTGGCAGCAGCTCATAAACAAGCTTTCCTCACTTCCCTCTTATGAAAGGTCATCTCTCTCCTGCTGCACTGACTTCTTTGTTTGCCTCTTTTCCCCTTTATCCCCTGACTCCCGTTAGTATCTCAGTCAGTCTAGTAAACATTTTGCCCCGTGGCAGCCTGGTCAAACACAGCAGGAAGATTAGGCTCTGGAGCTCACTCTTGACATATCTCCTGGGGATGGATTTTGCATTTTCTGGTAGGTCATTTTGCTATCGTTCCTCATTCACACATTGAGCAAGGGGGAACCGATGGCCCAAGTATTCAGCAGCTCGTTAGCAGTGAAAGGCAATAGGGTCTGTGAAGCTTCCTCTTCCCTTCATCCCTTTCTCACTCATATCCTCCCCCTACCTTATGCTTTTTAGTGGCAGTTTCCTGGGCTGAGTCTGCTGTTCAACATCTGGTAGTAGAGGGTGATATTTAACTAGGTCTCATGATTATTTCTGTTTCTCTGAAAAATACACCCACTTTCCTGGATGCAAAGGTGGCCAAGCACTAGCACACATGAAGGATTCATCACCCATTGTGTATTTTATAGATGTAGCCTTCTAGCACACGGGTCATTCTGTCGCCATCATGGCATTTACAGTCTCACCAGTAGCCTTGCTGGCCTTGATCCACATGTTTTCATCTGACTTCCTCATCAGCACAAGGGATAAGTGTACGTAGCAGTTGGACCAGATAGAGGAGAGTTCCAAAAGCAGCCAGGGGAGATGTGTACTCATGAGTCATCTACTCTTTGGTTGCTCTTAGCTGGCAGAAAAGTAACTCTGTTGTGGAAATTTCCCTTCCTTGCTGCAGCCTCTGTCATTGAACACACTGCACTTGGATCCACACACTCACCATGCTTGCCCAGAGTTTTATTTTACCTAGCAGGCTCTGCCTGTACCGGTCTGATTGCAGGTCTGGCACTAAGAATAAAAACTGTCACTTTATCATCACCCCACTTGCCCCCTGGCATGTCACAGCTGTGATGGCAACTGGATTGATTTGCAGAATTGCTTGAGGGTTCATTTCCTGGAAACAAGAATTGTGAAGCCAGGAAAATTTTCAGATCACCCCATTTACATATTCAAACAGAGATGAAAACCTAGCAAGATTTTCTGGTAGCACTGTATTTCCTTTTTCTCTCTGTCATCCTTTTACCCTGTCCTGCTGTAAAACTGACAAAGCTCTCAACTCCTTATCTCAGGCTCAGATTGTCCCCCTTCTCCTCACTGTCCTTGCTGAAATCTTGAGCATTTCATGATTTTTTTCACCCAAGAGCCACCATCTGCGACATCTAGCAGTTCACACAAAGTTGCGTGCTTGCTGTTCGTGAGTGACAGCCCAACTGGGACACAGATGTTGAGTCTCATTTCCCACAATCCGGTGGCTTTTGGACATTTTTCCAAGAGATTTGTTCCATTCTCTCCTCTTGTTCAAGTTCCCTTTTAACAACCAACTCAACTGAGTATGTCTTTTATGCAAACAGCAATTTCCTTTTGAAGCTCTCAGTGAGGGCCATGTTTGTCACTTAGTGCTCTGAGGGGAATTTGGATAAATCGGACTGGAGACAAAAATACCTCTGTTCCCTCTCCCAGGAGGGTATCAGATTCCTGTGTTTCATGTGTATTTCTGCTCTAAGGAGCTCAGTAAAGTGGTATTATCAGACTGTCTCTTCACATTGATTCCTAGCTCAACCACACACAATTTACTCATTAAAAAGACCGCTTGCCATCATTACTAAGTTCTAACTGGAGGTTCAGGTGAGTCTCCATGACCCAAGCTGTGGTCTTTCCCCTGTTAAGACACCATCACTAAAAACAAAGGATATACATGAGAAATGCAGCACTTGCATGCACTGGCTGTGACTGTCACTTGCCTCTTTGGACTCAGCTCAATGTTGTGTCACAGTGCTGCCCCTGCAGGGATGAGGGAATGAAAAGTGAAAAAGAGAGGATTGCACTTAATGTCCCAGTTTGTCCAGGCAAAACTTGTGTGTAGAGCCATCAAACACAGGTCTCCCTGAATGGTTTCCAGGGATAAATGCTTTTCTACTTCCACATTCCACTTCTTTCTTCCTCTGCCTGCCATGGGGCAGATGGGAAGAAACTGGGGGCTGGTGTGATGAGCACACATCTCAGCCACATGGAAGGGACCATGGTGCCACCGTTTCTTCCTATCTGCCAGCATCACTGCAGGGGCAGCGGATTTCTGAGATGTATTCCTCTAAGGGAACCATAAAGTTATTTCTAGTTTTGACCAAAGTTTTCTCTTCTGAATGTCCCCGTCTGTGCTCCCCACTGGGCCGTGACCACTCTGTCAGCCTGTTTTCAGCAGGTACTGATAGCTGTGATGTGCCAGGAGCCCTTGGAGGGCTGCCTGTGCATTTTGTGAGCCCTGTTGCCACGATACTGAATGCAGAGCAGATGTTTATTTCAATAGAGATGGCTTTGACTCCTTTTCAACTTTTCTCTCGAGCTGCCATCGTGTGTGAATACTTCTTCCCGGGAGCCAAGTGCGCTGTCAGGGCCCAACAGGCAGGCGTTGTGGTTGCAGCCAGTGAGGAGGGCAACAAGGTTGAGAAGCAAGTGACAGAGCAGCACAAAGCAGGCTGATGGTCCTGGCCTCTCAGGAAGGAGGCTGAAGCTCTGGGGACAGGGACTAAAGATGTGAAGATGTGTGTGTCTGCATTTACATGTTTATGCACACGTGTGTGTG